GTGTAGTTCTTGGGAAAATACATATAATTAAATTTTTTGTGTATTTACTAACAATAAAACTGAAAGGTAGTACACTTGTAGCTAGACTTAAAAAAATACTGCCAATTTCAAACAGTCCATGACCCAGAAAGGAGGATAGCATTGTTACTCAATTAAATCATTATGTCAGTGTTACTTTTAATAATTAATTGTTGAAACAGAAAAAGTCTCAATAATATAACAAGGCTAAATCCTTTTTAAGATACATATATTTTATTAGATGTTTCGTTGTGTAGTATCGCTGAGTATTTTTATGAGTTGTGCCATATTTTGACGAGCCCATAGGACAAGTCAAAATACAAATAACGAGTAAAAATACTCAGCTATACTACACAACAAAACATGTAATAAGTTATTTATTATCCAACACGCCAAATTGTTATTTCAGTGCGGGCAAATTTCGCTGATATTTATTTATGGGGAGTGCGTGACAGAAGTACACGAAGCGGAACAGAATTAATAATAATAACTTTATTTATCCTGGTAAAAAAACTGATGGACTGGTATTAATTGGTGACCAGCAATATATAAGAATATTAACATGAAATAAAACAACAGTTTAACAATAATGACAAAATCTCTAAACAAAGAACTAAGCATTGATCTTGCAAAATGTGATTAGCCTTATCCATAATCATTAATTGGGGCGTTTTTGTTACTGTTTCTATTTTCTTCAATAAATGAAGAAATTTCCTGGTTGTCTAAAGTTTTTCTTCATTCGATTCATCTGATAAACTTGGATATATATTTGGCAGCCATTCCAACTCTTCGTCGACGGAAATATGATTCAAATTGTCCGCCATTTTTTTCGTAACTTCAATCCAATTTTTTGCTAGTGCGATGTGAGAAAACCTGCCTAACCGGTTCTCTAGAGTACAAATACTGTGTTATATTTGTACTCGTCTATGGCGTTATTTGTACTCTAGGGAGTGTAGTTGGATAATAATTTGGCTTTATCGACTGAGTTCATAATGTAAGTTGGCCACCATAAACAATTTTTTAAAGCTGAAGTTTTTGACTGCAAACTTGTCGTCATGCAGCACTACATTTTATTTAGGAACTAACAGCCCATACCCCCTTTATTCAGTCATAAAATCTATTTCAAGGTGACCCTATAAGTCTCAAACTTATCTCCAGATTTCAGATTAAATTTTCACACAACTTTCATGCCTACTTCCGCCTTGACTCATTGTCCGCCATCAGGGTGTCCATCTCTGTCATAACCCGCTAGTAAATCTTCCAACAACCGCTGTTGAGAGTTGTTCCTTTCTGCTGTTTAAAGAAATCAGACGATTCAACAATACAGTATTAAACATTTAAAGCTGGTTCTTTTCTCAATAACTGTAACATAACCTTTTTGGTCCTAAGCTTTCTGCAGTTGTAGCGAACTGTAAAATCGACCTTACATGTAGCTATAGATGACTCTTTCTATGTAATTTGAACAAGATCGAGCCTTGGTTAGACATGTCTCTGAAAATCT